CACCATTTATCAAATGGCCCAAAAGGCATTGCAGGAATTACTCAGATAAAGGAAAACAAATACCTCAAAAAACCAACACCCAGCTCCTGGCCAAAAGGAACAAACAAACCTCTTTGAGGTGTGGCAGACAAACCAAATAAATAAGGGTGACCAAACCCCCTGCCAGAGACCCACACTCACTGCCCAGCTTCTCTTCACAGATGCTCACAGGCAGTGACAGCTAAAGGGGTCAAACTTACAGGCTCGCTCGTCATCCCTGACATTCTCATGTCAGCATCTCCCCCAACCTGAACTGTCCTGTTTCCCTCCATCTAAGTCCTCACCAGGCCTCTGTCCCCAGCCCCCTGACTCTGCTCTCAAACCCCTTAACAGGGATATCCTTCGCCTGTTACCTCTGTCCTGATCTTTCTAAGGGATGGAATTTAATGTTTGTATTTTAAACGCATCATGAGAATCAACATCAGTTTTAAGGAATGTTTCTTTTAAGTTAAAAGATCAGCTTCTACACCATAGTATATGGGCTATTTCTTCCTGCTGGTATACATGTTGATTCCATGCTGAAAGTCATTGCTTTGTCTAAAATGCTAACTTAGGCCAAGTGCAGTGGTCCACCCCAGTAAGGACAGCAAGTCTGAGTCCAGCATGGACAACCTAACAAGACCCTGCCTCCTTCAAAATAAAAAATAAGAAGAGCTGGTGTGTAGCTCAGTGGTAGAGTGCCCTTGGGCTCCATTTCCAGTACTGTAAAAAACAAAACAGAAAACTTAGTGTCCTTAGAAACTAGAATCAGACATGTCTCAAAGGGACACAGAAACCAAGACCTGGTTTCTCAGCCTTTTATCACTGGTATAACACACAGCTAAGTTGCTTACAGTTCCCTCCATTTAATCTTTGAAATCACTTACCAAGGTGCATTCAGTTTTTGTTTATAAAATATGAAACAACAGTAGGACTCCCATTACTTTATTATTAAGGAAATTAGGACTCAAAGAGAAGCCTGCATGCGTGGCACATTTTCAGTGGATGGTCAGCAGAAAATCGGACCTGCATGTGTGATGTGAGAGGTCTTCCATCCTGTTTTCCTTTTCCATGAAAATTTGGGACATAAAGGAAAGAAATATTCTGCTTTAATTAAAAAAATAGCCCGTGATTTCTGCTTATTGGCAGAATAAACCCTTTCCAAAACAGCAACACAGTCTTCATTTATAGCTGTCACTGGGAAAAGTTTCTAGGCCAGAAAAAAATTTTTTTTAGATTTTAAAAATCATATCCATTAATAAAAAAAAAGTGATGTTTTTTAGGCCAGAAGATTTCATCAGACCTGGTGATGGATATGTTTTTAATTAAACCTGGGCACAAAATTGGATTTCCCATGAATCATTGAGATGCCCCATCACTCTCTTGAGACAATGCCGATGCTGGTAGTGATAGCCATGTCTTGAAACCCTGAGGCCACTTTGTGTGTTTTGCAGTTAGAAAGGTGATTTCTGAGGCCTGGCAGCTGTTGGTGTTAACGCTATTGTATGGGAAACAAAAGCCATTCTGTTCAGTCCCCAGCCTCTTTTGTGTTCTTGATACTGGAGCTGTTTTATAAATGCGGTGTAATTCTTCAGCAGGGAATTTCATTACTGTCAATGTTTCAATGTCAGCTTCTACTTCTGACAGCAGAGGGGATGCCTGAGCTAGCTGGTATAGCAGGGAGCTGGGCTTGTGACCCACCGAGATGCTCTTATATAAGATCTGTTCATTAGACCTGCGCTCAGGTGCACAATAAACACACATGTGCTCCCTGCACACCACACTTGAGGCTGGCTGGAGTGAGTGTTCCAACAACTGCTGGTCTTAGGAGCTAATCGAAGCACAGAGCGCCAGCATGCTCACAAGGATCCATAAGAAGTAGATTTCTTGCACAGTTCCTCATTGACCTTACCTGGGATAGTCTCATAAAGCCAATCAGAATTGACATTGATTTAAAGAACGTGTACCCAAGAGGTATACTCATTATTTTAACTTAGAAAGCATACCACTATAGGAAGTTTTCAATTGTCTACAAAAGAGAAAACTCTTCAGATGCTCTGAGAGAGAGAGAGAAAGAGAGACAGAACTCACCTACACAATCAAGGCAGGGAAGCAGACCTTGTCATCCTTCCTTTGTTTCCCTCTTCCCTGGGCTGTGCCCTTGTAGATATTCAGTTTAGCCATTTGTGCTGCCATTGCTTATTTTTAATTACTACTCTTGCACTTTTACTGTAAAACATGTCCTGAATCTCTCATCAGAAAAGGGAAGTTTGAGCAGATCTGGAATCTGTAGGCTGGAAGATGCAGTGTCATGAATCTAGCCTCAAACATCCAACTTCCAGCTGACCCATAGCTGTTGAATGAAAATAAGTGACAATTGCTTTAGGCCAGTGCATTTTGGAGTGGTTTGTTAGGCAGCACTGTGGTGGCAATGTCTGACTGGTGCAGGTTGATGATACAGCTGAAGATTCCAGAGGTAGCAGGGGCTGCAGGTAAGTTTTGAACAGAACCCCTGTTCTGTTTCTCAGTGAAGCTCTTGAGGCTTCAATTTAGGATGATTTTCCTCTTGGTAGCATCATGCATGTAACCATTTCAGCCTCCTTAGCTCTTCCTGTCGTGTGGAAAGCAAAGAATCTTCTCTCCTCCAACTATCATACAAATGCCTGGCCTTAGCCAGTATGCAGGCTGGGAGACAAGAAGAGCCCCCCACCCACACACACACACCCAGTGTAGGCAACTGGCTGATTTGGAGGAACATAGGCTTAAATTATAGTACCTGAGGTACAAAACACAACTTAATGCTTGTATTGATTGATTGACTTTGCACGTCTAGGGCTGGTTTTCTGAGCATCTGTTTGAGGATAATAATATGCAGTATAGCAACTATGAGGGATTTCCTTCTGTCTTGCTTTTGAAATCAAATGTTGTACTCACTGTTTTGTGTTGTTCTATTTTATTATTTTGTTTTATTCCCTTCAAAAAAATGGGGAAAAATGTCTTGGGCTTTACTGTGATTAAGCCAACCTGAATCACATGTTCCTCTTGGCCAGTGATTGAGAAAACAGGGTGGAATTATGCAACTTGATTTACATCAATCCAAGTTCCTTCTTAACGATGAGAATGGACCCAATCTATTCCAAAATCCATGGTGTGCTGAATTAATGGCAGCAGTGGGGAGTGAAACAGATGCTGAGAAACATTAGCAATGTTAGTTATGGATGGAGTCTAAAATCTCACCAATATGTTTTAAATATATATTAATACATTATTTGACTCAAGACATTTTTCTATTTCCTTCTTGCTAGGCTCTCTAGATCTAGGAAGAGGGGTTTTCCTGATCGTTCCCCTGCCTGGGATTTGCCCAGTCATCATGGCAACTGTCCAATGCTGAATTATCATGGTGCCTAGCTCTTTCTTCCCAGAAACCCCTGTGGTTTCTTCTTCCCAGCAGTCTTTGCCAAAGCCCATGCATGACAAAAATAACCCAAACCCTTCAACCTCACTGAATTAGGCAGTTTTTGTCAGCTGCCCAATACCCTCCCCCATCAGAGTACATATAAGCCAACCCATACCCTTTGTTGGCAGAGAGCCAGCATGGCCTGTATTGTGGTGACTGACTCCCTCCATGCCCGCATTAAACTTGTACTATCTTGCTACCTTTATTTCTCATTTTCTCTGTACTGCTTCCCAGATTGAGTGCCAAACATAATCATCATCCTCTTGATCTCAGATGTTACTTGGTAAATGGCACAGTGTAATGCCACACTCACACTACCACAGGCATAAAGGATAACTGGGAACCCAGCTTAAGATTCACCTTTACCATGAGCCTAATGGATTCCCAATTCCTGGAATCTCAGGATTTTAAGAAAAAAAGAGAAGTATGTTTGGAATATGGAGGACTGTGGTCTTGATGGAGACTCTTAATGCTGATGCAGTGACAATAAATTGGAGTGGTGGGAGGGTAAGGGCCTTTCCATTGACTTCTGGCCTCCATTGCTTCTGATAAGAAGTCATCTGTAATTCTTATTATTGTCCAGACACACAGGAAATACCCAATAAAAGCATGTGTTTATTTAATGACTTGAAAAATAGAACTGAGGTCGTTTGGCATGTAGTCCAATATTTAAAAATACCTTTCCTCTTTATAAAATCCTGCTTTGTACATTGAAGGCTCCCATGGCAGGCTGTTCAGGAAAGTTATCAACCAAATAAGTAATCCAGGTAATATATGCAAACATAGATACTAAAGGAATCAACCGTTTTCTGTGCTTCTGAGTCCTCCCCAATCTAGAAGTATCTGAAAGATTGAACATCCTTTCAGTCAACACATTTATGATATGAAACAAATGTTTGTCTTTCAACAAATATATTTTTCAGCATCTACAAGGTGCAGTGTTAAATAGTGTGAAGGAAATGAAGAGATAATACTAATCTTCAAATATCTAATAACTTTCACTCAGATGTTTTGGGAAACTTTGAACATAAGAAAAGACTTGGTACCTTTTATGGAACTGAAATTCTCAGGGGATAATAGCTTGACTGTCTTCTTGGAGGATTATTTCTATCATTAAGGATATTAGATTTACATGAAATATCTCTCAGCAACAAGGCACATACTTTAATTTCAGCCACTTGAGATACTGAGGTGAATGATCACAAGTGCAGTACTAGCTAGAGCGACTTATCTTGTCTCAAAATAAAATAAAAGGGCTGGGAATGAGCACAGTGATAGAGCCCTTTGCCTAGCATGAACTATGTCCTGGGTTCAATTCCCAGCACTGAGAAAAAACAGTATGCAAATCAAATATTTCTTCAAAATGACTTCCCATGTACTTCATCTTAGCAGTTGAATGGGAAATACTAAGTTTGATTTACCAGGAATGTCATGATTAAATAATTCTACACAATTGCTAAGTTGGGGGTGCCAACTCAGCCACATTTCCTTCAAGTCGTTCTTTGTTTCTGTGTGTTTTTTCCAGTTGGGTTATGCCTTGAACCATACAAACAGAAAGCTAACATTGGAACCTAAAATAACTGTCAATGCCAGGATTGTTGTGGTTGGTGCCTCCAGTGTTGGAATTTCCTTCCTAGAGACATTGGTGTTTTGGTGAGTTGTTCTATTTTATTTACCTATTCATTTATTTTTACTTTGTCTCATTAATTAACTTGATTGTTTTGCTGTGCTGAGAAATGAACCCAGGGTCTTATACATGATAGCCAAATACTTTATTGTTGAGCTACATTCCTAACCTCTCATTTATATGTTTAAATAATATAAAGTCTCTACATCGAATAGAGCCCTTTCTGAAAACAGATTGTTTGCCATCCCACACCTTTGCCTATGTGGATTAATGAATCCATCAAATATTCTAAGTGGAGAGCAGGAACAAACTGTAGCCCCCTGGGCCAATCTGTCTTGCACCTGCTTTTGTGAGTAAAGCTTTGTTGGAAAACAACCTTATCTACTTCTCTAATGTTTTTATGCTATTGTAGCAGGTTCATGTAGCTATGACAGAGACATAATAGCCCATGAGGCCCAAGTTAGGTACAGTTCTCCCTGTCCAGAAAGGATGTTGATCCTGTCCTTGAGAGTGTGTCCCTTACTGGCCAATCATAAGACTCACCTAGAGCACTTGTTGAAGATGTAGATTTCTGGAGACCATCCCAGACAAGCAGGATCAGGAACTCCAGGCAGGGGAGCCTAGCATCAGGCAGCTTTGGGAACTGATTTTGTCTTTATGCATCACAACAAGGCATTCAGCCAGAAAGAGCTCACCAGCCAGGACCTCTCCTCCAACCCTGGATGCTGGATGCCAGAGATCAGTGTAAAATCCTTCAGGGAAGACTGAGGCCTCCATCTCTTTCTCTGACCTTGTTCTCTCATGGTTCCCGAGGCACCAGCCAGGCTTCCTCATAGAATGCTTGTACTGGGTAGCAGATTCCCAAGTATGCTCATTCCCAGTCTCTATCTGTTCAGGGAATCCAGTGTCTCTTCACCAGGTTGCACCTCGGGTCAGCGCCTCCTTGAATGTGGGATTGTGCTCTAGCTTCATTAGCACCTAATAAAAACCCTGTGCACATTACTTAACTTCTGTTAGGCCTGATTTCCTCATTTACTGTTTTTCAAAATATATTCTTATCTTTGTAATTGACTCATAGTAGTTGTATATGTTTATGGGATAATAGTGATATTTTAGTATTTGTGTAACATGGGGAATGATCATATTGAGGTAACTGGCATATCTATTATGTGTCACCAAACATTTATCATTCCTTTGGGTTGGGTATATTCAAAATCTTGTCTGCTAGCTATTTTGAAATATTCAGTGAATTACTGTTGACCACCATTACTCAACTGTGTGCTAGAGGACATTAGTTCTTCCTCCTCCACCCAAAACCACCTCTCACTTGGCCCTTAAGTCTCAGATGCTTTTAAAGACCCTAACTTTCGGGCACCACAGAAACCTGAATGGAAGCAGCCCATATTTTTCCAAATCTTCCCCCTAGGATCACATGAGAAACTCAGATACCATTAAAAACCACAGGTGCCAGAGGCAAGTGGGAGGTGGGAAAGTACAGCCCATCACCACTCCTCCAGATGCTGATGGTCACCAGCCCAAGGGGCCTAAAAGTGGCCTTTGAGGACTAAGGGGAAAGACACAGGGACGAATTAACCCCAAGCAGGGATTTGGTTCATTTGACATCACATTAGCTAGAAAAAGGAAAGAAGTGATTTTTAAAAAATTTCTAGCCAATTCTTCAGTTTTCTCAAACACTCCCTCAGTTAACTAGAAATATGCCATGTGTCATTATTGAAGTTAGCCAAATTCCTATCCTTCAATGTGGTGATCACATGGCGGTGGCAGTTCACTGCAGGGGTGACCTCCCAAGTGCCGTGTGAGGTATTCCCTGTCCTGTGTGGTGCCACCCTGTCAACTGAGTACTTCCTTGTTCTAAGGGTCCTTTCATGGAAGGTCCCTGAAGAGCTTGTCTGGTGCAGCCACTTCTAAATGAGGAATGAGCAGGATGGAGCTGAGAAATTGTGATCACCAAGAGGTGCTCATAAACACATCTTAAATCTTCATTTGCGTATATACTTAGTAATAACGTTTTGTTTAAAATGATTGCATTAAGATATATACATGTAATTTTCTTTTTGTGGAATTGACTTAGATTTAATAAAGACAAATATAAATTTTGAAGTAAGTACTGGGTTTATTAAATTGTCCAATCAGACAGACCTTTTTAAAGCATTCTAAAGTGCTCATAATTCTCTATCATCATTACAGAGATTTGTACACTAAAAATAGACTGGCATCAGTTTACGGATCCGTAATCCGTAAGAGCGGAAATCGTTTTCTCATTATTTTCTCTAATTATTTTAAATCAGCAATCACCATAGTAACCTACTGCATATTTTGTCTTAGTAGTTTAGCTGCCACTTGAGCTGAATTTTATGCATCATTTGAACTGTAATGAAACTGAAGAAATACAGTTCTCACTAAATACTGCCTACCACATTTTGGAAGCACGATTTAGAAAAAATCTCCATCCCAGTTACTCCAGAGCTGCATTCACAGACTCAACAGCTGCACTGTGGTTCCTGGAAAATCCATTTCAGGTCTAGCGCAGGAACCTCTTTTTCCAGGAAATCTGGTGATCCTGTTACCTGGTAACATAACAGACACACACTTTGTTCTTATATTATCTACATGCAAGAAATTACAAAATGCATTTGTTCTCCTCTTCAAAGGATGCCGGAAGCAGTCCTCACACATGTCCTGCCCTCTAGTTCTGTCCATCCTTCCCTGTGTGCCAGGTGCTTCTGGGAGAGCGGCAGCAAGACTCAAAGGCAGTGCCTGCAGATGCCAGGATGGAAACTGCATGACAACACAGAGGGTGGGCTTGAGAGGTGGGCTGTTGGTGTTAGGTTTCAAGTACACCGTTCTTGCTGGTTCTCTGCTGCCTCGCCTGCACAGGGATGTCAGCAGGGACTTACCTTCTTATCTTTGGTTGTCAGGCCTGTGGGTCAGCCCTGCATCCTGTTCTCACCAGGACAGGGCCTCTCTAGCTCCCAGGTGACAGATCTGGTAGATGTTTCCCTAGGGACACACATCAGCGTCCCAGTCTTCTACTTCCCTCCTGGGTAGTGGAGCCCAGATCTGTTTGCAGTCTGCGTCTGTCCAGCAGGATCTGCACTTGGACCAGTGGCATGTGGAGAGGGGTGCGAGGTCTGCAGGGTGGTGCATCACCTCCCAGTCTCAAGAGTCTGTCTTCTGAGGGTGCTGTGGGAAGACTCAAGAGGCAAAGAAGGGCCAGTGTGTGCTTGAGGTGCTCAGGACCTAGGCTTCTCTGCTATCCCCTGGGTGCATGGGCAATGCCACCCTCTGGAGCAGGAATCTCTGGTGCCCTGTGGTGTAGACAGTTGTGACTGGGTGAAGAAGAAGGACTTGAGACATTTTCCCTGGTTCTGTGATGCCCTGCACCATACCCAAGACACTCAGGTGATGGCCCTCAATTACTGGAAAGCTGCAACCTTATGATTGGTGGATTGTGTCCATTTAGCTGTTCTGGTGTCTGGGATCAGGAAATTCTTGGCTTAGGCAATCTGGGTGTTGTGTATACAGAAGTGATCCATATACACAGTGAATATTTAAATTTTAAACATTTATTACTGTAAAAGAGACTTTGCCATGAATCCCCTTCAAAATACTTCCCTGCTTAGAACACACTTACCCCATCATTCTCGCCACTCTCTGGAGCAGCTCTGGAGTCTTTGTTTCTGAGTGTCTCCACAAGGTATGATGAAAAATATGGTGGGCATTGCTGCTGAGCACCATCCAGCAGGAAGAAGGCTCTTAAAAACAGGGTGCTGTGTTCACATCCACCTTATGCCCCGAATTCCCAGCTCTTCTCCAAAGTCAAAATGACCAAAAGAGAAATGTTTCAGATCAATTCAGGACATGAGGCAATGATGACAGCACAACTAAAGATACTCAGGAAAGACTCCTGAGCTGCTGCACAAAGTGTCGAGGACAAGTGCATTGGAAACAAGGGAGAGTAGTTTGTTGGAGATTAATGGCAATTTGCCTTTCACTGTAATAAATTTTTAGAATTTTAAAATTTAAACATTCACCATACTTTTTGACCAAACCTCCTACAATTATTCCTCTCAGTATCACTTTTAATAAAATTCTTTAAACTACAGCCACTGGGAGAAAGAAGCTCTCTTTATGAGTTATGAGCCCATCCCAGGGGCCAACTAGCTCCAGAGCACTTGACCTCTGATGGTCCTGTCTGCCTCCTTGGTGCCTGAGGCCCCAGGTCTCAACCAACCCCAGCAGAGTGGAGGGATGTCATCGTCAAGGTAGCACAAACTCAGAGTCTGAACTCCGAAAGCAAGCGAGTTTCTCACTGAAGTCAGCAGCCTCCCCAGGGAGTCGGAAGTCACTTTGTGCCAAGAGTCTCGACTTGCTCACCTCTTCAATAGTCTGGAGCTGGGTGCAGAGGCACACACCTGCAATCCCAGCACTCTGGGAGGCTGTGGCAGGAAACAGAGCATGTTAGAGCCCACGCTGGGCAACTCAGGGACTTAGCAAGACCCTGTCTAAAAAAGAAAATATCTAAGGAAGGAGCTTCAGTGTGAAGGCCGGGGTGTCTCTCTGTCTCTGTCTCTCTCTCTCTCTGTCTCTCTCAGAAATAGTTTGAGTCTCACAGATTCTCCACAAAGATACTCCAAAATCATTTTTAATATGCAAATATTATTCCAAAATAAAAGTGGGATGGGAAACCAGGTCCCTGAATTTCTCTTGGTTTTTTCTTCCTTCTCGCTTCTTCATTATCTCCTGGCACTACCTCCCTGAGTGGGGCGGGTCCTGGGTCAGTATCCTCCAGGACACAGGTCACTGACGCCTGGTCTACTCTTTCTAAGTCCTCTCCTATCCTCTTCTGAGGCAGAAGACTCTCGAAGAGCATAAAATGGTCCTGGGAAGATGGGCCAGTGACTCATGGGATGACAGTGACTGAATGCAGCCCCATGTGGCCCCACGGCTCCCTGGTGACTGGAGAGATGGGACACTTGTGTCCACAGGAGTACTGCCCATTGCT